GCAGCACCAGTGGAACTTGCAGCTGCAGCGGTCGACCACCTCCACGTCCTCCGTGTGGAATCCGCGACCGCAGCACATGAGCTCGCAGCCGTCGATGGCCTTCGAGGTCTTGTTGCAAAAGCGGCCCGCGGTGCCCAGTATGCCTGGAGATCTGGGGTCGTGTTCACAGAAGTCTGGGCTCGGGTCCAGGTACACCAGGTCTTCATCTGTGTGCGGCTTGAACTGCGTGTTTCGGGGAACCAGGACCTTGGTGGTGCCCACTTTGCGCTGCTCCACTTCTGTAGCGCCGTCGAATTTCTCTTTGATTATGTTGCCCACTTTGCGGAACGGCGGCATTGCTTTCCAGCAGGTTTTTACCTCGCAGGAGCCAGAAACTCCGTGGCACTTACATTCCACTCGCATGTTGTTCAGAATTGCCTTGGATTGTAAAAGAAAGGTCATTTGTTAACAAATTATGATTGTTAAACCTTTCAGCATGATGTTTATTAAGCACCTTACCTTCCTCCCTGCCTCATTGTTATGAAGGTTCATTAGCGCTCTGTTGGAGGACTGTCCTTTACTTCGTTCTCTGATGTCCACAAAGGACTGGGAAAAAGCAACCCCGTATGCAATGTTATCAGAGCATCCTGACCATTGGAAACCTGTTGAGATAAAGACACTCAAGCATGGAGAAATGCAACGAGTCCATCTGGAAACAAAGTTGTTTACAAGGTATAAGTTTGGCCATTTTTCCAAGTTCGTGACATCAGATCACTGAATGTCATTTATAGTTTAGTTTGAGACGCTTATTAGTAAGTGAACTAGATATCCATGAGAAGAACTGTGTATGTGGCTGCTTTTATTTCGTTTTAGTTAATCATATGAAATAGTCGGCAATTATTTTACTGTAGTCTACAGCAGAGGTTTTCAAACTTTTTGATTATACTGAAGCAAATCATTAAAATGTTACATGGAAATAGTTTATTTTGCTATGATGGATTTTTTCTATCCATTGTTAGTGTGATGTTAGATGTTAGAATCTTAAAAAAAAAATCTTAAACTAGTAAGTAACTAGGACTTTTAATTGAATAAAAAACAGTAATAATAAAAAAAAAAAGATCAAAATCTCATTATCTCTACCCAGTTCTTAAAAAGCAGAATGAAACAATAATAATACTATATACTCAGCAAATATAAATTATATTTATATAATATATTTTCCTCTTTTTTTTTTTTTTTCTTTCTCAGAACTGTTTGAAAACCCCTGCTGTTCTGTATTTTAGTCTCAACACATTCTTGTTTTGTGTGACCATTATTTAACTACATTTTTAGAATGCTTTTCTATTACTGTAGTTGAATCTGTTTCATATCCTGTTCATAATCCGCACTAATGAACAACAGGAATTGTGACTGATCACTTTACGT